CAAGAAATGCGTGCCACAACTTGCGACAACTCTTTATTCACGAATAATAAATAAATGAATTCAAGAATTTCGTTTSCGAGAGGGGGTAGTAATTTTACCTCTTTGATTTTTTGGCTCATTTCTCAACCCCCCTACTGATAGATATTGCGCAGTCCCTAAATCAGAAGTAATCTGGGTGATTGATTTGCGACCAGGCCTGCATATGAATTCGCCAAGGTTGTAAGCCAGTGAGCCCGTACATTTTTGTTAAGCGGCTATATTTGAAAATGCAATTAAAGGAAAGGGAAAACCCGCAGCTCTCCTTTCACTCAGATAAACAGTACAAGTCGTGTTAAATTTATTTACATAACTAAACAAAATGATTAGAGAATTTTAAAACCTTAAAGAATTGAATGCTCATATGAAACATTTTCCACCTTACATACACACGTGTTTTTCAGATCGGAATTTAGTCGTACTTTTTTCACGATGGAATTTTGTTTTGAGTCGTTTCGACATAAACAGTTGCTATCACGACATTACACGAAAAACCCAGTCACCGTTCTAGCTCTCGTTGTAAGGTCAAAGCTAGTAAATGTGTAACTGACCTGTTGCATAACGTCAACCCGTTGTATCGTCGAGCATATGCTTGCGGCTTATATAAAATGCGACAAAGGATGAACTACGACAGTTGTTTGTACCAAAAATAACAAACGCTTTAACTCTATTGGAATACGTGGAGCTACGCTGCTCTAGCTCTTTCAGTGATGTTGTAGATACCTCAAATCTTAGAGGAAATAAGAGCTAAGAAAAAGGATTTGCAATGGTTACTCCTAAGATACTTTGGACTTGAGCGTCGCTTCAACGACCTTCTGAGTGTTCTGAAGTCTTCGCGAAGAAGTCGGCCATTTCTTCGCATGCAATGGAGAACCCGCGTAGAACACAGAACAATTATTTTTATCAGGGAGGGGAGTCTCTTGGTATTAAAGAAAAAAATATTTGTTATTTCATTTTTAAGATAAAATTCTMTTTCTATAACGATAAATATTTGATTGACATTTAATAAAAGCTATTTTATAAAGATTTTCAATTTCTCTTTGCGTTTTAGCTTTGATTTTTCGGATAGAATAAAATGGCAGGCAGCCTACTCTACTGGGTCGAGTTTTGCTGTGCAAATTCCTCCCGTCGGGGGGTTATATTTACAACATAAGCTTGTCAGCTTTGCGCTGATTGGCTCGTCGCATTTTCTCAAATCACCCAGCTATAGTGTAACTGATATTTCTCCGCTCCTCTGCCCATTCTATCCAATCACGTACACACCATTTGGTATAGAGATGAACTTCAAATTCTTACACGGGCAAAGCAAATATCCACAGCTTCGTTTAGCGTTGGTGCATATGCCTGTATAATTGTTAATTTTTTTTGTTCATCCCGCCATAGCAGATACCATTATCGCCACTCCGCCTTGATGCACATCATTGTCACCTGAGTACAGAGGGTCTCAATTGGGTGGTACGCATCACGACTCACGGCTAGAAATTTGGCGATTTCACGACTCACGACTATTTTTTTAGAATCACGGTTAACTAGATTACTTTAAGAAATTTTTGAATTACGTTTTTCATTGCTTTTTCTTTTTTCGTATGAATAGACTGCGTGACTTATTCGTACGGACATGGATTTTTCTATTTCAAATAAGCCGAAATGCGACTATTTCCACGAAAAAATGATTAATCATAAATTCATA